GTATTATCAGCTTCTTCACCCAGCAATTTCTACGATAGTTTCCAAATCATAAATTAAAATGACCAACAATTAATAAAAAGATTGCAAAAACATTCCAGGCGATGGTATGTCAGTGTTGTATTCACATGATATCATAGCCAATTCTCATATGATTACAACATATCACAAACAATCGAATAACTATCTCGAACCATGTTCCAGATGACATAATGATTACAGGAAAATCTTTGCTTCTTCTCATTTCCTTCTCATATAGTAAGTTCAGATGNTGATTACAGGAAAATCTTTGCTTCTTCTCATTTCCTTCTCATATAGTAAGTTCAGATGTACAGATGCAGCACGTACATCGTTTGCAAAAGGACACTAGACCCTGTAGCTGAATTCATGTTATCAGGAATCTTTGAGCGTACACAACGTCCGTTTCATGTTGAAGTATGAGCGAATTTGAACGTTTTATTTATCAATGCTTATCAATTGGAATTTCAAGCTTTGACTAAGCCAGAGTACAGCCCGAATCTACGATCTGCTGAGCCAGGAACGAACTAAAAACAAGATTTATGCGATGTCAAATAACTTCTGATAGCTGACCTTGCTTAATTGCATATAGCAAAAGTTCTTATCCACAGGAAGTACAGTCGAAACTGTACCAGTTGTGTGAGATTGCTCCATGAATAGATATGCCCACCCGGCTTTGTTCAAATGTTGTTTCAGGTATGAGGTCATCTCATCAATGGTATTGTAGTTGTTAACTGCAGTCTCCACAATATCAGAAATGCTTTGATCTTGGCAGTAACCTTTAAGTAGATCATGAGAAATGAAGATTCAGAATATCTTAACTGTAATCGTCAGATTGTTGGATGACTACACGTTTCTGAGCCAAAACTTCTGTAAGCATATTCGTACTTAATCCTCTTTCAGAATAGGAATCTTACGCTGATTTGCGAAGTTGAACACACTTTGTGCTCTAACAGAATTACAATCGGCACAGTGACCAACACACCAATTCTCTCTAAAATCATGGAAGAAAATCATACATAGCTGAAGTTAAGCATACCTGTTAGTTTGTTCTCCAAAAG